TATCTGCCCCTTTTTTCAAACAATTATTTCAATCATAATAATTTTCAAGTAACTGAACAAAATGAATAACTCTTTCTAATTTTTCTAATTCGAATACAAAACACACTAAGCTACTTCATATATATTTTTTTAACAATTCAGCTTTGATCTTTTTCTTAAATGTACACATTGACTTGGCATTTTTCACATCACTCTCTAGACCATTCCACAATCCAACTCCTTGGATTGAGGTAGACCTTCCCTTCAGACTAGTTCTGAATTTTGGTTTGACAAATATTTCTATCCCCTTAAGATTATAACAACTTTGTCTTTTAACAAAATTTCTTTGGATATTTAATAGTAATGTGTTATTTTGAGCCCTATACATAACTGATAAAATACTGTAATCTACCAAATCATGGAACTTCAATAACTTCAGTTGATAAAATAATGTGCTTGATGGATGACTGTAATGCTTTCTGGTGATAATTCTTATAACTCTTTTCTGTAAAATAAAAATAGGTTTTGTAAATGTTTTACACACTTTCCCCCAAACATCAATGCAATAGATTAAATGTGGAACAATGATTGTGTTATACAACATGTACAGAGCTTTATCATTTAATAATTCCCTGACTTTGTATAGTAATTGAAGGTGACGTCTCTTGAAGGTACCTCTTCGATCAACGACTCAGTGGGGTGAAGGTAATCCCAACAGTGCCTCCCTAGGGGGGTGCTTTGGGCATGTCCAACTGGGAGGAGACCCTGGGGAAGACCCAGGACACGCTGGAGAGACTACATCTCTAAGTTGACCTGGGAACACCTTAGAGTCCGCCCAGAAGAGCTGGAAGAGGTGGCTGTGGAAATAAATGTCTGGGCCTCCTGCTCAAACTGCTGCCCCCGAGACCTGACTTCGGTACAAGTGGAAGATAATGGATGGATGGATGGATGGATGTAGGTGTTCATCGGCAGTGAGTGCAAATATTCGGAGGTCGTGAGCTGACCTTTTCTGGGCGTGGGGGCCAGACTGTATCCCCCCTTTCTGGAAACCTTGAATCCCAAGTTTTCCGCAGAGCCTCTTGAGTACAAAACAGAAAAAGTTAAAACACAACCTCAAATAAATGTTTCCCAAAGCTTCGCTTACAGCAAACAAAATGAACACAGAAATAGTAAAATTGCCCTTTAGTCAAACATAGGGCCTGGATCTCTCGTTTCTTTTTTTAAATTTAAAAAAACTTTATTTTTTTTGTTTGTTTTTACATTTTCTAAAAAAATATTTTTAAAATAACCCATTCAGATCCAAACACGTTTTGTATCATTATGCAAAACAGTAAAAAATTAATAAAAAATAAAATACATTATCAAACAATTTCATATGCCCCAAAGGGAAAAAAAAAAATCAAATCAGTAAAAATTAAAGTAACAACCTGACTGCTCTTTACCAGAATATGTAAAAATTAAAAGTGCACTCATTCAACAGGAGCCAATAAACAAAACAAATAAAAGTTGAGATCTGTTCCAAAACTGCCAGAAAGATGTCCTCCTATGCAAACCTTTCCCCCTCCTGGCAAACCCTCTTTGCTGAAAAGGTGTACAGAAAAAAGTGACAGATCAATAATGCCGGGCTTATCAGAAGCCAGTAAAGGAAAAACCCACTTTCTGCTTGAAAAGTAAAATGTCAAAACAACAGAATTTCAAATGAAATTAAAAACTCTTTAAATGTAGAAGTGACCAAATCTACATAAAATAAGAATTTAAAGAAACAACCTGTGTTGTTTCCTTTCTGCTTATTAAATTTGTTGTTTCTAATAATGTCTGAATAATCCTACCTTAACCTTTCACCTTTGTTTGTTTGTTTTGTTTCTTCTGGAAAGGATCTCAGCAGAAAATACCTGACCTGATTCAACCTTATTAGACCTATACACAGTTGTTGATGTAAAAAAAAAAGACACAAAAAACAGTTTTCTTTTTTTGTTTTATTTTACAGACAAAACATAAATAGAGACATTATTTAAAAAAAAAAAAAAAAAAAAAGAGATTGTTTTTTGCAACAAAAAAAAGTATCCAAAATGTATTTTTTCTCAATATAGATTATGTACAGGATAAAATGCAGTCAAACAGAAATGGCATTCTGACTGTCAACAAGAAGACAAAGCAGTGAGGTTTCCTAACCAATAAATATAAATGATTTGTATCAGGTATGCTGCACTCAGCAAACATGAGTAATACCAGGGTAAGTAACTTCTAAAGGATATTCCCTTAATCTGCTTTTGTACATCACTGTGCTACACTCACTGATAGTCCTCCACCCACAATAAGTTTTACACATAAATTACAGTTGGGTTACAACAATGAGCCATCATAACACACTTAAAAGAAAGAAGAATAAAAAAAAATTGTATATGGAAATACACATTATCTTTTATCAGAAGGGAAAAGTGACTGACTGGTCAAAGTTTTCTGAAGCTGGCTATTTAGCACGTGACATTTGGTCTGAATGAAACAGTACCACTTTACAATAAGGCTCCCCTTATAGATGGCTAATAAATAGTCTATAAATACATTATTATTTCCCTTATAAACACTATAAATCAATAATATTTGATTATGCATTAATTAAGGGTGACAGAGACAAAACTGACCAGTTTCTTGTCAAAAAGTGAGACAAATCTGTTCACCTATATATTTAATCTAGAGTTGTTATATTAAACATTCCAGACTAACTTACTACCTTGTAAGCACAATAAGCATTTGTAAATCTATTTCTTTAGCATATACTATTGTACTTTATCACTGCATTATAAGTATCTACAGCTAATATTATATACTAAAGAAATAGATTTACAAATGCCTATTGTGCTTACAAGGTAGTAAGTTAGTCTCAAATGTTTAATACAACAACTCTAGATTAAATATATAGGTGAACATATTTGGCAAGAAACCGGTCAGTTTTGTCTCTTTCACTCTTAATTAATGAATAATAAGCAGTTATTAATGATTTATAAAGTGTTAATAGAGGAATTAATAACATATATAATATAATATATATATAAACTATTTATTAGCCATCTAAAAGAAGAGCCTTATTGTAAAGTGGTACCGATAGTGTGTGTGTGTGTGTGTGTGTGTGTGTGTGTGTGTGTGTGGGGGGGGGGGGGGGGGTTGGTGTCTGTGTGTGTGTTTCTACAATTTAGTGTGAATTTTGGCTGTAAAGCTTTTCTGGCATTTCTGGTACTTGCTATGACTTCCTCTGCTTCATTCTCTAGTTAGAAGCTGCCAGCTCATAGAAAGGTACAATCCTGAAATACGAATATGGTGAATGAAGAAATGTGGATATATGTAAATATAGTTTGGATGTTTTGCTAGAACATTTTTTTTAAGCGAACCCTGCTGAATTTCAGTTGGTGACCCGTGGCTTAAGGAAAGGAATTTTCTCACAATATTTGAAGCAGAAACACAAACATGTCATCATTTTGTTGGTATTATATTTAGACACACTTGGGGTCTTGTGTTAGTTTAGAGGTGAGGCTATGACATTTTTGTTTTCAAAAAAATAGTGTTTTGGAATTTTAATGACGTTCTGGGCTTTTAAAGACTTATTTTTTCATTCTGGAACCCATTTGCAGGAATACCATTTTGAAGTTCTTAAAATGTTTCCATGTGGACATCAAGCTGAAATAAAAAAAAGTTAAAAAATAAAAATACAAAAGTATATTCAAAAAAACACTATTTCATTGTGGATCGTCCTCAAGATGCACAAAACAGCTTTAATCCACACTCATTGGACAGACAACTGCACAATCGCAAAACACGCACAGGGAAACGACAGCAAAGGAAAGCTATGGGATGGCTGGGTTGGGTCGGAACGCTTGTAAAGAAAAAAAACCTTGAAGGACAATGTAAGCACAACATTTTGCAAACTACTTTGTTGCTGGGTGCCACTTCTCAAAAATTACCCTCCTGTGCTTGGCAGGAGGAAGGATTATGACTTTGTGCCAATGAGCAAATACACTTGCATAAATCATCCATCATGTTTGGCGGTTAATTACTCTTGTTTACCCTCTGAGTAACCTCAGGATGGGGTGGCACAAAAGGAGGGGGTTTTGTTAAACGAGATATAACAAAATAGGAATCTGCTGATGCTCTTCGTCAGTGAGTAATTCACAGGAGTAAAATCACATAATAGGCTTGAACCTGGGTGTTAGAGAATTAGGCAAGGTTGCTGAGGTTTTGAGGATGGCAGCTCCATCAACCTATTGTGGCTGCTCGCTTTTCTGGGGTCATCTTTGTAAAGGTGAGAGCTGAGACCAGTCAATCAGACAGGATGTACAGCAGGCTCTGACTGTAGCTTATTTCATTATAGGAAAAACTACATAAATTCACAAAATGAGAGGAAGAGGCACAGAGGGAATATTTGTATTACTCTTCTAACACTGGCTTTCAATGCACCCACCAGCATTACCACAGCTTTCTTCTTCATTACCCCCAAAGCCCCAGCCCATAACCGATTGCCTTTTACATTCTAATCTAAGAGCTCATCTGCATTCAAGATAATTAACAGCCGTTTGTCATGATTTAAAGACAAGACCTACACCATTGTTATAGGAGAGGTTAGAGTTTTGTAGAGTGGATTTCATACATTAAACTTAAGTCAACACATAGCATGGCCTAATATGTGTGGTGCTGCATTCGTATGACGAGATGAATGTAAAGTGCTTGATAAGAAACTAAATGAGATTTATATAAAACAGTAAAAACAACAGAATCAAAAACTGAGGGACATGAATTGGGTTTGAGAACATGGATTTTAGAACTGGTCTGATTCAGGCAAGTGCAATATTGAGACACTAGAAGAAAGATTAACAAAGCACAATGTGGAAATGTAGGGAGTCCCCAAGAAAAAACGAAAAAAAAAACTAGCATGTCTCAGAAAAAAGTACAGTCAGTCCAAGAGTAAAACCCATCATCCATCCAGCACAGTGGATGAGCTTTATGGTTTATCTAAACCCTCAGGCCTGAGTTCACCCTGGCACCCAGCTCTGGTTGTTATGTGCTGGCAGACGGCAAGCAAAAGCCCCTAAGCTCATGCCCATTCCCATGCCCACCCCCTGTGACAGAGAACCATCAAAGTTGAAATCCACATGGTCTTTGTTTATAAAGTCATTGAGCAGAATGGAGTCCACATTGCAGTCAAGACCATTAGTGACATTTTCCATCTCCAATTGGCCAGCCATTCTGTTATGAGAGTTGTGCTGTTGTCCCTGGTATTCAGAATTTCCTGTCTGGTTGTTGTGATGATAGTAGTCTTGCCAAGAGTCAGTCATACCATGTTGGTGAGCTCCAGGGTAAGACCGATGGCATGGGTGAGGTGCAGTTGCCAGGCGGCAGGGGTCCTGGGGAACATCCATAATTCCTGCAGGGTTTAGTGGAAGGGAAGGGGATGTGGGGAAGTGGGGGCGAGGCCCAAAGTGGTTAGAGGTCTTGAGACTATAAGGCTGCAAGATGTCAGGGCTCACCCGTGGAGACAGAGCCTGTTGGTGAGGCCCATTGTGCATAGGGTTATGAGGGTTGTGGGGGGGATGACTGTGCAAGTGACTCTGACTTGAGCGAGGGCTGTTATCATGACAAGGATTTACTTTATTTCTGTGACTATGTTCATGACTCTGACCATAATCGTGGGGAGTATGGGGCTTGTGACTGTAGTCAAGGCTAGCTTGGTGTTTATGACCAGGATTATGGTTCTGATGATGGGCTGTGTTTTGCTGTTGGACTGAGCCATGACCACTGTGTAGACTAGGATTGGGTGTAAGCTCTTGGCTGTGATTGTGGCTGTGATTTTGATTGTGGCTGTGATTTTGATTGTGGTTGTGTTGGCTGTGAACACAATTTTCTTGTGTTAATAACACATTTGTTTTGCATCCCTGGCTTAGCATAGTGTCTTTGTTGCTGTATGCAGGACCTCCTATAAGCAGACTCTGCAGGGCATTGCACTCTGAGTAGGCTCTCATTGGCCGCGGAAAACTAACTGAATTGTTCTCCTGAATGGTCTCCATAGGACTGTGATGCTGTAAAATGCCCATGGAAGACTGTCCATACAAAGGTCCACAATAAGGTCTCTCTGTTTTTGTCCCAGACACATAATATCCATTACATTTAATTTGCTGTGGCTGGGAGTAGCCACTCTTATCAAGACTAATTGTGCCTGTCAGGTTGGTGAGCTGAGGCAACTCCACATTGGGACAGTAGCCTCCAGTGCCCAAGGCTGGGGAGTGTGCACTGGTGGGACTAGGGTATAGGCGTGGAGATGTTGAACAAGATAGTCCACCCTCTTCAGGTTCATCAGTGTCTCCCTCTGCTAGGATTGGAGAAAGGCAACCACTCAGCGTAGAGGCAGAGGATGAGGTACGGGAATGAATGTCTGTCCAGGTATCGTACTCCTCTCCATTAATGCCGACACTACCTTTCCTTGCTGGACTGCCTTGCTCTGGGGAACCCTGCATTGCTGAACCAGCTCCCTGAACTTGTCCTTGTTCAAGACCTATGGGCCTTGCTCTTTTTCGGCTTATGCGGCCCTTTGACTTCAAATAGCGTGTCCCGTTTTCTATAGAGGCTACCCGTCGTCTGGGTCCCTTACCCATCTTTCCTCCTTCTGGGTTAAGCACCCACCAGGAACTCTTCCCTGATCCTTCATTTTGCATCCGGATGAAGCGACTGTGCAGAGACAAGTTGTGTCTGATTGAATTCTGGAAGGGCAGAAGAGAGAGAAGAAAAAGACAAGTAAAAACATGATACATTTATTATTCCACAAATGAACCAAACAAACATTTACGATTACTACCTCAAATCAGAAACAGTTGGGACATGAAGTAAATTGTAAATAAATAATTAATAAAACATATTAATTATTAATTAAATTGAATATTAAATATATTATTAATTGGGGCAACTGTAGAGCGACCATCCTCCAATGGGAGAGTTTTGACACTGAACCCCTCATTGCCTCCAATGTGTGTCCCACATTGTGTATGAATGTGGTCTACTTTATTTGAATTTATTTTTTGTCTTCTGTGGCTATAAAACACCCCAAAACATTAGCACGGAAAAATAAAATAAAAACTCATTTTAATGAAACATGAACATTTGTGTTGAACTTAAATATAATATAAAATGTGATGCTTAGTTGTGTTAAGAAAATGTTCTGGATTTACTTTTCTTCTCTTGTCAGTCTAATTCACTTAGCAGCTCCTCTCTACTTTTAGTGCAGCATATGGCTGGACGATATGGCCAAAACTTTTATCACTATATATTTCTTAATTTCGGTCGCTAACGATATAATTTTGATATTGATATAAACAATATAAAAGCCTCAGGAAAACTGTACAAATAAATTAATGTTCACCTTTTATTTGTATATAGCCTTCAAAAAAATTTGAAATCACTGTCAAATAAACATAAAACTCTCAACTTTGTCAGTTTCTTTTAAATTTATTAATTAATTTAAGAGAAACAAAATAAACAAAACAAATTCATCAAAAAGAAAAAAAAACATTGAATGAAAAGTGTGCAGAAAGAAGAAGAATATCTGCTCCTTTACAAAATAACTACAAATAACAACTCAGGCTTGAACCCCGAAGCGAAGACAAAAAACATCAGGCATTCTTCACAGAGTATCACACTTTCCTAACAATTTTAACTTAATTATCTTTTTAAACATATAAATGTTCTAGAAATGTTTATGGTGATATCAAAACAATTCCACAATCCTGTTCCCAGAATTACAACGCAGCTCCTTCAGACCAGTTCTAAATGGAGGTTTTACAAACATTTCCATTCCCTTAAGGTTATAATGACTCTCGTTTTTATGAGCTTTATACATGACTTGTAAAATACTATATTCAACCAATCATAAAATTTTAATAATTTCAATTGATAAAGGTTGAATGAATAAATGATGAAATAATATATTTGTTGGGTGACCATAGCACTTCCTACTAATAATTCTTAAAGCTGCAACATTTTTCAGTCAGGTGGAACAAACCAGTTCTGCTTGTGATAAGATTGTTCCACTTTGGAGTAAGCTGTTGGAGGAAGAATCAGTTTTGTTGTGTGTTTCCTTGACTGATGAAGCCTTCCGGATCGAAGGCGAAACGTTTCAGCACAAAAAAATAAACAGTCCAGATGACCTGACTGAAAAATGTTGGATTTTATACCTGGATTATTGAGCATGGACTTTGTTAATTCTTATAGCTCTTTTTGTAAAATAAAAATAGGGTTTATAATTGTTTTGCATGCTTTTCCCCAAACTTCAGTACAATAGATTAAATATGTAACAATCATTACATTATACAATATATATAAAGCTTTGTCATTCAAAAACTCTTACTTTATTTTGCTATTTTTATTCTTGAGTAATTTACATGAGATTTCCATGTCATCTTCTCATCAGTAACGACATATTAATAGTTTTAACTTTAAACACCATAACATAGCCCATGCAGCAGATATTTGCTGCATGTGTTTCTCTTTCGATACAGCTGGGGGGTTGTTTCAGGGACACGCTGGCTCAAACTTTTATTGTGCTTCATCTTCTGACTCTCAGCATATTCTATCGAGTGGAACCTCTTCAGATGAAACAAGTTAGATGTGTTCCCACCGCTAGTTAGAATGACTCTCCATCACATTTTGCGGCATTGAAACCTGCAGTTTATTGGATCTTAGAAAGCCGAACCACTTCTACATCGCCAAATTAGTCTTTCCTCTCTTATCAGTGATGTCATCTGCTTTCTCTTCGCTTGTGAAAGTTTGTTCAGTCACATTCTGACGGTCATGGGCACTCATTTTGAAGCGAATACTTAACAAGTGTTGGAGATTAGCCTAGCCTAGCCTGCTACCGCTGACTCCTTCTGGACTCGAGCTCTGCGTAACATCTACATCACCACGCACTTATATAGTTGTGTTGCACCTTTTTCTGTCAGGGTTGAAGCGGAAAAAGAAATGCATCAGTGAAACTCTGTAATCATATTGAAATATTGAAAATGTGCTGAAAACTCATATCATCGTTATTAAATAAAAGTATATCACGATATATATTGATATTGAATTATTGTCCAGCTCTAGTGCAGCAGCTCACATCATATAGATTTGTTAAACGGTTGAGGAGGAGAGTAATCAATCTGGCTTTATGTACAGGCTAAATAATAAAATAACTATAAAGTGATTGATAATAAGAACTTTGTAGGCCCTTATTTGAGTTCCATGTTCCAACATTTAAATCATAAACTTTACACTAAAAGCAACACTTGCATGTTGAAATCTAAAAAATAAAATAAAATAAAAAACATGATGCAAAAACTAGCAGCTCTTAAAAAAGTTTCTGATGGATTTAGAATGATTTCTTTCTTTCTTTGTAATCAGTGCATGTGTTTTTTAATCTTCTCATCCATCTTAAATATATAATTAACAGCTCTGATTGGTCTATCGTTTTTATTGTCTGTATTTCTATTCCTGGTGACCAATTTTTTTTCTCCATTGTACTTTAAGCAGTACAGTAGTTCCTTCAGCAGGCTGCTGATGAAGCCCTCTGGATAGAGGGCAAAACATCTTTCCACAAAGAGAAACTGTCCAGATGACCTGACTGACCGTTATTGGAAGATTTATAAAGTTAAAAAAATGAATAGATGAACATCCATCCATCCATTATCTTTACCCGTTTATTCCATTTTGGGTCACGGGGGTCGCTGGTGCCCATGGCCAGCAATCACTGTGCGAGGGGCGGGGTACACCCTGGATGGGTCGCAAGTCCATCACAGGGACACATAGAGACAAATGAGACAAACAATCATTCACTCTCTCACTCACACCTAGGGACAATTTAGAGTTACCAATCAGCCTAACATGCATGTTTTTGGACTGTGGGAGAAAACCGGAGCACCCGGAGAAAACCCACGCATGCACGGAGAGAACATGCAAACTCCACCCAGAAAAGTCCCTGGACCAGGGTTTGAACCAAGGACCTGCTCGCTGAGAGGCAGCAGCTCTACCAGTTGCGCCACCGTGCTGCCATAGATGAACATATTAAGCAAATAGTTAAGAAATTTCCATTAAATCATTATAGGCATGGGCATTAGTTCATTTTTCTGTTTTGAGGGTTTAGTTAAAATGGTCTTTTCCCAGAGTTGACTGATTGTACAACATATGGCTTCAGTAATTTTTAAAACAAAAATTAAGTAAACATGTTTGAATTCATTATAGATTTTTAACTTGCTGATGACTACAAAAAGCTTGTGCTAATGTGCAACTTGCTAAGAAACAAACAAATATTAGTAAGGGTGTGTGTATTTGTTCAACTTAAACTTTGACAGTGTTGATTACAAGAAATAATTACACCAATATATTTTTTATTGAAATAAAGCGAGAGGAACAAAGAAAGTTTAGATGAAGAGCCGTTATCAGCTTCTTACTGGGGCTGATCACCTCTTGGTAGTGTTGAAATAAAATTCAGGATTACTTCATATTTTCCCCAACAATGGAACATTTTTTCAGTTTCAACATTTGATACAGTGGGGTGTCCTGGAGTACAGAACACTGCAGTGGAGAGCATCCTGTGCTCCAGCATCAATGTGTGGCATGGAGTCTGCACAGCTGCAGAAAGAAAAGCTTTGCAGAGAGTGGTGAAGGCTGCACAGAAGACTGTTGGAGTCAGTCTCCCCACCATCACAGACATCTACTCCTCCAGATGCAGGAAGAGGGCCACCTGCATCATGAAGGACCCCACTCACCCAGCACACACTTTTTGCCCCGCTCCCCTCAGGCAGAAGGTTGAGGAACATTAAGTGTGGAACCACTAGACTGAGGAACAGCTTCTACCCTGAAACTGTTAGACTCGTGAATCCCTAGTCAGTATTATCACTGTGAAAATTACTGTGAAAAAAAAAATCACTGTAAAGCTATTTGATTGTTGACATGTGCTGCTGACTATCCATGCTGCTGATCTCATGCTGCTGATTTATTTCATGCTGCTGTGTTCATTCATCCTCATCTGCTCACACAGACTCGTGTTCATGCTGCTGTTGTTTGGTGCATTGTTTTGTACTATTAGTGCTTAGTGTATTCTTAGTTTAGTGTATTCTTAGTTCATATCTTAGATTTTATTACTGTTTTTCTTTACAATTTGTATTTTTGTTGGATGTAACTGGGACCCTGTGTGCATAGTTTCGTTCCACCCCATGTACCACATGTGATGTGAATGACAATAGAGAATCTTAAATCCTTGAATAAATTTACTTTGTTCTATTGTGAATAAAATATGGCTTTGTGAGATTTACAAAGCACTGCACTCTGTTTTCATTTAAATGTTATACAAAGTTCCAATTTTATCTAGAATTTAGGTGCTAAATATTCACTAGAGATCACAATCATTTATACTAATGGCTAAATTACTTCACTAAATTAATGCTTCACTGCAAATTAGAAAAAAAGATGGTCCAAAAAATTGTAAAGAGCTTGAAAAGTGAAAGACCAAGGGGTACCTCCCTTGACCACCCTCTTCCCCTTACACACACTCACTGAGTCATAACATGAACATGGGTACAACCTTCACATCAAAACTTTTCAGAGTGTTCAGAAATGAATCACAAACCAATCAACAACAGCTCATATAGATTATGGGGTCTCCAAAAATAAAAGCCTGAGATCCATTCAGACCTTCTACAGAAGGATACAGAGGAGAAATTATTTGGCAGAA